GTAATTTCCTCTATCTCATGGGAAGCTTTTAGGCTTACACACTTAGAAATTTAAAGTTTGCACAAACGCGCAGACATACGAAAAACAACATAAATATGCAGCATTTATTTTAAGTCAAAAAGCTAAGTCTGTTTTTGTTAAATTTGCACTTGCGTTAATACTTTGCTTATTATTGGGAACTTCTAAATGATTAGAATTGAGGCTATTCTGGCTGGCAGAAGTTGAGAACCAGCTGGCTCGCAAGTCCGATCACCCGCGAGCATGCGGATGGCCGAAAAGGATGGGCCGAGGCTCAAGACAATGAGCTAAAGCAAGATGTCACTACAACCTAAAATTTAGATGACTATCCAAATGAATGATAGAGAGGGTTGGCCGAAAACCGTGAGTCTGGAAGTAGGACGCATATAAGGGGAGAGAATATGCGACAGACAGGCTTTGAGGGTGAGGAGAAAGGGCGAGAGAGGAGAAAAAGAGGTGAGTACACGCGGACAGAGAGACAAAAAGGAAAGACTTAGGAAGAGAGTTGGCGACTTGAAGAGAGGTATAGAGGGAACGAGAGAAAGAGCCATGAAGAATTTGCAAAGGACTTGCTGGTGAAGAGATCACTGAAGCGCAAAAGATCCAGCTGCTTTTGCCAGGCGGTCATCATTTGGTTTCGAAGTCTTGTTAGCAAACTCACATCGGACGGACTTATAGGGACTATCAATTTTACGTGTCCATCTCGGTGGGTCGCCTAAGTATGTATAGGGCTGCACTATTCTGCCTTGATGAACTCACCATTTCCTTCAAATTTCCCACTCACACCCTGCTAGCCACCGAACACAGCCACAACAACTAATATCACTGCAATCATCAGGCCCTTATACTTCCACCTATCGTCGTCGTCAGGTTTGTGAGTCAGACTGGCTTTGACCAAATTCACCAGGTGGGATAAGTCCGAGGGTTTGGTTTCAGGCTCCCTTTCATCAACGCAATTAATCAGGTTCTCTTTTTACGCGGATACTTGGTCCAATGGAATGTTTTTACCTCTAGCATCTAGTTGCCCATTTCTCCTAACTAAGCCTTTTGTTTGATGTGGTCTCCAAGTCCTAATAAATGTTTACATTTTTTTGCATCAACCTGCGCCCCCAAATCTTAGCTGTTAACTATTTTCTATTGCAAACATGTACATTTTTTTCCCACTCGAAAGGGAATATATTTTTTCATCCAGCAAAAGGAATTTGTTATTTTAGCTTCATTATGGTTCACTGGTATAAAATTATCCCATCTTTTGTTTTCACTGTATACAAGTCACATCGTAAGTGTGGTCAGGATAAACATTGTTCTGGCAAGATGAAGACATTTGATGCCGACAGCCAAGCTTTTGGGAACCGCGTAAATGGCCGAATTGTGCTGATCAAGATTGAGCCGAAATATCCGTTGGCCATGCCTTATTCGGCAGTAGCTAGTCTGTACTGCTCATCTATGCTCGCACACCCTGCAGACACACCGGGTGACTAAAGTTGACAGCAGTTTATCCTCAAATCCCCGCCACATTCGGCATCATCCTGTCGGACAGGTGAATAATCAGTGAGGCTATGTTTTGTTGCTTTACCAATTATCTCGTCGGCAGATCGTCCGTAAGACGCGGACTGAGCAAATCGTATTCACATACGCCTATTTCTGCCACATATGCCTCCTTCAGAGTCGTGGACTTCCTTGCGGACCTGTTCAACTGGACAGTTGACTGTTTATGTTTGCATCTGCCAACAGGCGGTCTTGAGGATGATCACAAAGTTAAGCGCACAAACCTCTCGCCAATGCACGTGTGTACAGCATGTCTGCTTTCAAAGACTCCTCCCCCTAAGGACAGAAAAGATGTTGGTACGACGACTGCCAGGCGAGATTTTCGCCACGATAGCCGCCATTAGGTGTGCATAATTGACGATCCCATAACATGGCTGTCTTCTCGTGTGGAAAATACGGCCAGACTTTATTATTCGTTGCACAACTTACTGGCGAGATCGCGTCTTATCTTTGCAACCGCTGAGTGCGCAACCCCTCCTGGTAGGTGTTCTACGAGCAGGTATAAACGGGCCTCGATATAAACGAATGGAATCCAAGGCTTTACGAGCTTGGCCTCCCGGCGAATGCATGTACAGGTAAACATTGCGTACGGCTGCAGTCTCGAATGCGAGCTGTAGTGACAAACAACCTTAGCCTAAACACTATGCCCATATTTTCCCCTAACACCGGCTTCATTACGATATTCACAGCGCTCTCGTAGATTTCATAGAAGCCAGATAGGCTCTATGCTTGCATGAACGTGTTGATAAGATATGGACAGGTGAGAAAGAGGCTTATCATATACATGGTT